ATTCTACTGAGTCGAGTATTTATGATGATCATTTATCTTTATCAACGATTTCAAAAGACAGTGCAGAGTCATATGGCAGTTCAGAGTTAGATGAAATCCAGAATTCTTGTGAGGCAACAGTTCATAATCAACCGATTTATCAGAATTCTCATGCTATTGTACCAGGTATGACTTTTCCTAATGATTCACATATTTCTAATGAAATTACTTGCAATATTGAGGAAAATATGTTAAATGAACCTAATCATGATCGGAAACCTGATGTGGTTTGGATAGATGCTGATTTTTCTAATGATCCATTACTGTGCAATGACAGTCCTAATGAATTTCATGAGGATATTTCAGAAGAATCAAATCCTGATGTCATATCTTATATTACCTCTCCTCATAATGCATTCGATCCTTGTGAAAAACCTGCTCAATGCGAAGCACGAGTACTAAGTGTTCTCGAGTTTGATTATATTTCCGATGATTTCATATCAACTGCTGTTTACCCTTATCACAAAACAGTTCTAATGTTTACTCTAAACAATGTGAGAAATATGTTTTAAATGAAGCCACATTATTCATAACCTGGGGATATAAAGATCCAACATTATTTCGTGGGGGAGGATAGTGTTGAAAAATCTATGGTTGAAATTCTAGATATTAATGATTTCAGTACAAAACCGATATGCTGATTGTATACAATTCCAGGTGAGTCTGTTCCGATTTCGTTTGTTAATTCCAATACTAATGAGCACTTTCTAGATACTACAAAGTTTTTATCTTATACAATGTCGGACAGACTCAGGATGAACTTGACAAGAAGACGTACAACCGATTACAAACACTTATACTTCTATTTAAGCTGTGGCGGATGTGGTGTTTGAATTAACTAATGATTCTTTTGTAGTTGTTGAATGCTCGATTTCGAATTCTAAATACAGTACATTCGTTGTGCCTGTGTCTTCTTAATTCAATCGCGTTAATCCTGGGATTCCTAATTCATAGTGGGTTAGGAATCCACTGACGAATCATTGTTTGGTAATTTATGTACGAGAATATTCTCTTAGGCTGCTTGAGTGCAGGTTGTGCTAACTGCATTTCATATTTACTTTGAGCTTCCCGGATTTTAATTATACCGTTGTTTCTTACCACCTTGTAACGTTCCATCGTACCTGCCGTTCCAAGACTGATGGCAACATTACAACATTTCTTCTTTTGTCTTAGTAAACGTCGAATATCCTGATCTATCCAGGGGTGACCGTGCTTCGTTTTTGGTATTGTCCAGGGGAAAAATATGGTTGAAGCATCCGATTGTATAACTGCCTGAAATGAGTCACAGTTTTCAACCGATGCTGCAGAGTTGTTCGCCTCCATGTCTGCCTTCCAAATGTTAATACGGGCTGCGCAACTGTTTGGCAGGCCATACCAGACATAACCTTGAATAAGAAGATTGCATGATCGCTTCTCCATAGATATAAAAGAAATGTCATTTGACCGACGTGATCACTGTTTTTGAAGACGCAGTCCAATAGGGAAGCGAGGCTACGTCATTCATATCTGGTGGGAACTCTAATGTATTGGAATCAGGATATTTCAATTGAGGTTTCTAACAGTTTGCAATCGAAAGGTATTATCCACGACCCTACTTCCAAGTATACCAAGTTTATATTTGATGCATTAAGTCTCGTACTTTAAGGCTATTACTCGTATTACACCAGGACTTAAGTCAGCTCAGGAAGAAGTCATCGACTACACATTCTGGACTGTGATATACTACAATCAATTCAATATATTGTCGTCTACATTTCAGCTGGCAACGCGCCAGTTCACATTTCCCTGAGTCATAGGCCATTGTATCAACTGCTTCTATGGTTATGGCACTTTGCGTGTACAGGATAACCCCGCCTTCCATACTGTTTAATATATCAGCTCTACTGGATAAAAAACAAGTCAACTGACTCTCATTATCGAATAATTCTCACGTTAACCATCTTTCTGAGTTGGCGATAACATCCGGTTTTTCTACGGACACCATAGTCTTCAGCTCCGCTATTTTATTTAGGAGGCTGCAGGCATTTGGGTAGCAAGACCTTAAATCTACGGAGAACTTTCCCTTACCACTCATAGTGCTTTGAGGTTCGTTTCGCTCTGAACGTTTACAATTTAAAAACCCTTAAACATAAGGTTTTTTCACCATTTCATCTGTGCTCATTTATTTCTACTTCCACAGCTCGTCGCTTAATACGGCCAACCAGGCTTAGATCCTCATGGACATATATTCCGGATCCAATCAATTTGCGTGACTTTCTCAGTATCGCGCTTCTTTCATAAACCACAGCCGAGGTAACTTTCAAGAAGCGGCTTATTCAAGTATTTTCAGATACCACCATTTTCCTATTCTATAAAGCTTACAAATGCTAACCCATAAACTGTTTCTGGGAGTAGCTTGCTTATTGAGGACTTGATATGACTAAGGTCGTGCTCAAATTTGGTCTTCCGTTCCTTTTCAGAATATTCTCTCACCTTATAAAAAGTTACTAGCCTCTCATTGGGGTCCTTCTTAACACGCTGTGGAATATTGGTTCCTGATATCGTTTCTTCCCTGCAATCTGATCCCAATTTAATGTCCAACACTGAGGTTATATTCTGTCTTCTTACTTCACTTTTCCTGGGTGTGACTGCGATCCACCCATTTACCTTATTTTATCTCTTGGTCACATCATCTACACCACTCAGACTTGGCTCCCCAATAGTTCGTTTTGCGTTAATATATGAATCCCGAACTGAAACCTTAGATTCACATACCTTAGTACAGTCTACAAGTAGTTTCTTCTCCTCAAGCGATTTTTTCCTTGTGACAATATCTATATCCGTATGCATGTTATCTGTTTCCCCGATGGAGTCCACCTTTATGGTCTCATTGAAATCCAGAGCTGAACTTATGATAAAGTTCTCTACTTTCTCGACAGCAAAATTCTACTCATTTACTGTTGCGTGTTTATCTGAGGGCAATTTTCTGGCTATGTTCAGCAGCTCAATAGTCTTTAGAACTATCAGACTTTGTAAAACAACATGATTTGCACGGCCAACATGATAATAGCCTGCAACACCTTTTATATGTAGCGAGTGTATGTTCAGTGCTAAATTCACAGTTAAACGATATAATCTTGTGGGTCAGGGTAATTTTACATTGGTTTACAGAACTAGACACAATCCAGACTCCACATGACAACCCAAACAGTACAGCTCAATCCCGCTTCGCAGGAGAACCAGACACCATATAGGCTTTGACACTACAATCTGAATAGTACAGTTCAATCCTGTGGCGCAACAACACAGATGCCAGCACCCTGGTGGACCAGAGTATATCTCAAAATTTGTTACTCATTTAACTGTAGCTCATCGGAATTCCGGAACATCTATTAAAACGGATTGGATATTGTTCCATGAATAAATACTGAACAACTAGAAACTGCGACATTTACACATTGGTCAATAACGTGCAGAGCCATGCAGGAGAGTACCGAGGAACCAGATCTGGTTCACACTTTGGAATAATCCGCACCAACACTATATGCAGATGCTTTCACTGTAGAAAAATTCATGGCAGATGGATAAAATAAATTCATAGGGCTACCCAATAAGGCTCAGCAAATCATTAAAGTTTAAAGTTAGTGATGATTGCCTATTGAACAGCGTCTAACATAAGTTACTACGTTACGGAGTCTCAGGACTTTTAACGGTACACTTCTTAGTGGGGATTATGACATCTAGTTCCCCAGAAACTAATGTTAAGATCGACCCAGAAGTTTTAGAGATCCAGAAAAAGATATATAAAGAACTTTTAATAAAACAATATGATCTTAAGAGAGGGAGCAAATTCCTTCCGATAGATATTGAGCCATTTAAACATCAACGCCATCGTTTGGCACTACCTTTCACAGATGAAGACCGCGCTGCTAGAAGACAGTATCTTAAAGATCAGTTATTGTCAGAGAGGGAACCAGTAAATGTTCCCGAGTGGACGCGTGTCAACATATTTCGAAGAATATATAGAATGCCTTTTGATGCTCTTACAAATCTAGTTAGACCCATAATCGTAAGTTTGCATCCAATTTTATTTCATGTTCACCAGTGGCTTGGAATGAGGATTTTCCAACTGCCTTATGTGGACTTTCCGTGTCCGCCAACCCGGTTAAACTGCCGGACATTCGCTTTTTGTCCTCTCAGTTTCGTAAACTACACTCTCACCGTGAGAAGGCAGTGGTTGTATGCACGTGGCCATGTGAGAGCGTTTGGAGAGGGTGAGTTGACACCCCACACTCTCGGCCGTACCAGGGTATTTGGGGATTGTTAAGATTAGAAGACATTCGTAGGTTACTAGTGTTTAGTTACAATTATTTATCTGTAAAGCTTTAGATATTATCCTGTAACTACCGAATAATCAAGGTAATGATTGGAAATCTGTTAATGACTTTGTGGTTTTTCATCCACTGAGATGTTTGAACCATGTATCACGTATTCTCAGTCAAAATCTACCTCGACTCCAATGCTCACTGATGTAGGAGTTACTTGAACGAATGTTTGGAGTGGGGAAACTGAAATACAGTATTTGTTGATCAATTATATTTGATTCAGCCATGTTGGTAGATATAGATATAGAGTCCTTACAATTGTTGTAGGCATTGGTTAGTGATCCGGGTACATTCTATCTTTATTTCCTCTTAAATCATGAGTCTCTAAATCTATTTATACTATCTTTCTTCAATCTTAACTTAATGTTTCTACTAGTACTACTGATACTGTTATTATTTTTATTATACTCTGGGATTTGTTTAATAATTTCTTCTGACTATATGTATTGTGTTTTGGCAAATTGAACTAATGCACACCACGTTCTACATTGTTGATCGATTATTAATCTTATCATGGTTGTTATTCTTTTCAATTTCATTTCACTTCAATAGATCCCCTTTCTATAAAAGAGAAAATCGGTTCACATACAAGTTTTAATGGATCAAATATGTTTGGATATTCATATCATTCATAATCGGTTAGTATCTTGTATTTTTTCCATTCCTTTGATTATTTTCATGTTGGTTTTTGTTTTAAAATTTTATTAAAAGCATTTTCTTAATGAATAGAAACGAATGACTAAACTGCATACCTTTGTGTATGATTAGTAAATTGCTATTGTACACGATACGTTTTGGCTGACTGACTGACTGACTGATGATAAAACTATAGTTTAAAGACTATAGCTTTAGGCTACTCTCAAAAATCCTCTCGTGACTTTGAAGACACTTTTAAAAGTCAATGAACAGAGAGTTTGTGCAAATCAGTTATATTTGTTAACAAAAGTAATCAAACCTGTTAGAGTTTAATGGTTTTTTTTAGGAAGTTTATCGTTTTTTTGGTGACTGATTATCAGTTACTTAATCATAATGTTGAAGAGACTTTGCGATCCAGTCGCATTCAATTTACTGTAGGTAAATTTGCCTATGAATACCTCTCATAGCTGTAAATAGTTTTGTGGAAAATTCATGTTAACATACGATATCTTTATTAACAAATTCGTTAGGGTTATAAAGATGAAATTATTAGAGAACCATCGTTGCGGCTATATCAATATGAAGTAATTATGTGTAGATAGCTATTTTGACATTCCTACAACATTATTTACTTACTTACTTACGCCTGTTACTCCCAATGGAGCATAGGCCGCTGACCAGCATTCTCCAACCCACTCTGTCCTGGGCCTTCTTTTATAGTTCCATCCAATTCTTGTTCATTTTTCTCATGTCTATCTCCATTTCTCGGCGTAATGTGTTCTTTGGTCTTCCTCTTTTCGTTTGGCCTTGAGGATTCCATGTGAGGGCTTGTCTTGTGACGCAGTTGGGTGCTTTCCTCAATGTGTGCTATCCACTTCCAGCGATTCTTCCTGATTTCTTCCTTCGCTGGGACCTGGTTTTTTCTCTCCCATAGTAGGTTGTTGCTAATAGTGTCCGGCCAACGGATGTGAAATATTTTGCGTAGACAACTGTTAATAAACACCTGTATGTTCTGGATGATGGTTTCCGTAGGTCTGGAAGTTTCTGCCCCATACAGTAGGTCTGTCTTGACATTCTAATTGGAAATTCTGACCTTGGTGTTGGTTGACAGTTGCTTTGAGTTCCAGATGTTCCTCAGTTGTAAATATGCTGCTAACCAGAAAAATTATTCCTACGACATTAACTTACCTATTGTTTAGTAAAACATCAATAAAATGATTTCTTTGTGAATTTACTATAAACAAAGTAGACTAAAAGGAAGACCGATTAAACCAGATTCTGAACCATGTCATCCAACGTCTCAAAACAGTAATGCTCACTGCTGTCAGGTGAAACATAACTCAGGTAATTTACATCTACAAACATGGTTAAGACTAATAGTCAATGACTTTATGAACTGATGCCACGTTTTCTACCTCCTCAATAACAAGCATCGCTTGTTGAAGAAGGCAGTTGTCCAATATACCTATCACATTGTAATTACTTAGGTTGATGAAGATTTATAATCTTATCAGCTAACTTGTTATCATTTATTGATACCCTGTTCCTGTTTAACCTAAACATTACGCTACAAAAAGATATTTCTATTGTACATCTTACCTGTTTGTTTTTGAGTTTTTTCCGCGAAACTTCAAGTTAATTTTTTAATAATAATAAACTTGTCTCTATACTACAATTTTACACTTTTTACATGTGATTACTTAAATTGACTATTCTACATTGATTTAATTTTTCTTTAAGCAATTTGTGTAGATTCAATGTGTTCAATTCTTCGAACTGAATAGAAATTTTCTCTGTTGTCATACTGTTATTAATTTGCATTGAACTGTTAAATTACAGGATATACTTTACATTATGAATTGATTTTACTTAAACAATTATCAAAAAATAAAAAAAATACAGGAAGCACTAGGCAGTCTTTTTTTGTCCGAATATGATGAGCTACTCTACAGTGTAAATCCTTAACTCCTCTAAGGACCATTGGATCCAATACTTTTAGATCTCATGTAGTGTAGTATTCGAATTTCTCCACATATGGTTCACAGCTTATGCTGTAGATCTCAATGTTAAATGGTTCTTATTGACTTTAAACTTGTCATTGTTTACTTCTTTGTTTTGATTGTGTCTCCCATTGGTTTGAACTTTGTCCTATGTTTGTTCATAATTTTCCTGATTGGTTGTAAAATTGGATCGATTTCAATGTGCTTGGTGATTGCTGATTGATCTGAGTGCCAAGTATCTAAAAATTCTCTAATGTTTTTGGAATTTCCACTATCCAATTTTTCAACATTTTTCCAGTCGAATGTGTGTCCGCAGTTGTCCACGTGCATTGATATAAGTGAGGACATGTCATGGCGTCTACAAAATAAATTGTGCCAACTGCGATAAACACTACATCAGACAAAACGGACGCCCTCTTCATCTTCGTCTGCATGAACATCAATTAGCAGTCAAATGATCGTTTTTCTAGTGTACTTCTAGGGTACTTGAATTCTTTCATAAATATATTGCCTTGTCGAACTATATTCTCCAATAATAAAACTGATGTTATATATGTAACATGGTGTCATTTTGACTTTATTATTTGGTCAGTCAGCTATAACGTAGGATTAGACACATATATGCATCGGTCCAGGTTGCCATACTTCATTAGCAAAACAAGATGATCACCAAATTCATAGGAGTTACTTCAATAGTAGTAATATATAAAATAAAAATTGCTGTTACCTTGAGGTGGTGGTTGGACTTGCCCATCGTGATGAGCTAGTCGGGTTATACTGGCTGAAAAATCGTTCCTCGAGGTCGGTCGAATAATTGTACGACTTAATGCAGCAAGCCCAAGGGCCGACGGCGAAGTTCGATTGCTGACTGTGCAGAGGTGTGATGGCACTAAGATGTTTCCTTCAGATAAACAGCACAACAGTGATACTGCCTTCCCACAAGGAAGGATGTGACTACAAAAGGCTGACCCTAAAAATACACGTCTCACCTTATCTCACAGATTTCCGCCTCCATCGATTATGTCCCAACAATTATGGGGCTGACATGACAATTACTTACAAAAAGGTCGTATGTGACCGTTCTCCAACAGTTTTCCCTTAGGCACTGAGGTCACGCTCTTAGTTCGCTAAAACCAACTTTAACCCAATTTGCTTTTCAGGTACCTCTAGAAAAACCCTTCCATGATGTGGGAAACCATGTAGTGAAAACCGCCCTCATACCTCTAACTGCACTCAAGACCACTGACTTTATCATTACTAGTATTGGTAATTACATCTAACTTTTTTCACAGTGTATGATATAATAAATTAAACTGAGACATATCCTAGAGCATACGTTTTAACAACGATCGATTCAGTCGATTTCAGTTGTTTAAAATCCATACAGATTGATTTTTGTGTGTGTGTGTCTATTGTCCCAATTGAAGACATTATCACTGGAATTATATTTCCATCACAATCCAAATGTTCACTTGATATTGTTTTACTTGAATCTTCCCATTGATGTTTTAGTACTGAAATTGATCAGTCTCTTATTGGCATATGTGCATACTGTGCGTATGCCTCGATATTGCCTTAATTTACAAGCATTATAAGCAAAGATGGATAGTGGCTAGCAGTGGAATCCAGGACTCAGTAGCTAAGTGGATAACGCGATGGCGTTTGAAGCGAACGGTACTGAGTTCGAGTCCCAGAGTGAACATCAACTCTGAGATGCAGGTACATCCAGCTGACGAGTCCCAAACAGGACGAAACGCCCGTCCTGGATTCCACTGCTAGCCACTATCCATCATTGCTTACAATCCAAATATGTTGAAAATATCAATGATTGCTCAAAGTTTTACATTTTATTTCTACCAATCATCATGTCTGAGTTAGTTAACATATGTTTGTCCCACCAGCCTCCTCCCTCCCTCTCTCTTTCTCTCGTTTATCTGTATATATCTGTTGATTTATTCGTCTTGACAATAAATCATTTGTCGCTTAAATTTAAAAAAAAATATGATGAGCAACAGGTTTGTGTTGTCAACAGGTATGCAAGTGTAAATCCAAACATTAAATTAACTAACATATGACAACAATACACAAAATCTATCTATTTTACCATTTATAATTTGAATCTTTCATATAGACTTGATCATATTTATTAGATAATTGTTTTTTTTTCTTCAATTAACTCCAGCATTCATAATGCATACCAATGTATATGAGAATAATACATGATACAGTTAGTTATTTTATTGATCTTCTCTTATACCTTTTTTTCTGTGATCTCATGACAAACTCCATTTACATTTCATTATATATAAATGATTCATGTAGTTTGTGTTGGGTTTCACGAATGTTTTTTTTCCTCTTTGTTTTTCTTTTTTGATCACACTATTTTAATGTTCTATTTCTATAGAAATCTATTAAATGGTACCATTCGATTTGATCTGCCTCATCGATCTGAATCAGGTAAGCTACAAAATTATTATTGTAATTATGAAATTAAATAAGAAAGAGTATTATTGAGACTAATTTATGTAGGATATTTAAGTGACATTAATGTAACTCCACCTAATTATGAATACAATGGTCTTAAGTGTTGTTAGAGGTTGGGCCACGTGTTACGTGTGTGTATGCCTGAACACCGATTACCACGACGTGTAATGCTGACTTGTGTTGGGGATGATTGGAAGAAAGTTAGGGGCGGCCAAACCAAAACGTGGCATCATTCCACAAAGTCACTAACTTCTAGTCTGAGCCATGTTGGTAGATGCAAACTACTTGGTTGGAGTCCGTGTGACTATCGTAACCAATGGTTGGAGAGTCTTGGTGATATGGTTCAGAATCGATCACAATGGCGTCGGTGTATACACTCTCTGTCTTCCCTTGAACTAAGAGATTAAAATCGCCTCATATCTTCTTTTCTACGAACTAATTCTTTCTTCCTGTACTATATCCTTTTATATGCAATCTTTCTTCTATATATTACCACCATTGACTTAACCACTGCTATGAATCCGGTGTCCATCTTGTTGTGTTAATGAGGTATGGCAACTTGGACCGATGCATATATGTGCCTGGTCATACGTTGTAGTCGACTGATTGACTGAACTCACCTAATTACTAGTGTCAAAAAGGGTTTATCAGTCAGTATGACAAATTAGAATTAGAACTGAAAAGTTATGAGTTAAGGTTTTGTATCACGAACTTAAATAACTACCACAATCAACATCATTAAAAAGTACAAGTATTTATAAACAATTGTTTACGCAAGATACTTTATGTCCGTTAAACGGTTACCATCAGCAACAGCTTTAAGTGAGAGAGAACAAATCAACTTCCAAATGAAGAGGAAAATAGGAAAAAGACCCTATAAGTGGATAGGACATACATTTCGGAAATCATTAGATTGCGTCACCAAGCAAACGCTAACTTGGAATCCTGAAGAAAAGCAGAAAAGAGGAAGGTCAAAAAAACAGTGCGTCGAGCATTAGAAGCAGACATGAAAAGAGTGGATAGCAACTGGAAAGGATTGTCTAGCACAGAGCTGAATAAAAAATGTTGCTCCTCCACTAGGGGTGACATGCCGTAAGTAAGTAATTTACATCACCTATTATGCCAAAATACCATCTGATCATTTGAATGAATTAGTTTCTCACCAAAATCCAAGACGTGCTACCTTTAATTTCATTGGTTTGTTCATAAATTTTTGTCTCGTTTAAAAGTCTACTCTACACAGTAATAGTGGTCAGAGAATACAGATAAGGTTAAAATAGTTACGATAAATTCTCAACTAAATTTTTTTTTAGCCTGATTAGATAACAACTTTTGTAAATCAATAATTTTTAAAAGAGGGAAACAATACTGTATCACAAAGTATGCTCTACAGGTTACTTTCACTGTTAATTAGATAAACAATGACATTGAAATTCATTCATATAGATATATGAATGATCAATCTTCTCGAATCCCTTTAGATGATCGAAATAGATTTTTAAAACTTTCTTTATTGTTATTAGTTATGGTTAAGGCTATGGGTTTTAAAGTTTAAGTTTTCATTCTTTGCAGCTGTATGAAAATCCAAGAGTTGCTATCTCAGATCTTAATTCATTCGTTTATAAAATCTAGTATTACTGGGTTATGATATGTTTCCAATTGGTATGTACGATTAGTGTTTGGTTTGTCTGTTATATAAAATCTATATAAAAAGAATTAAGAGTTCGTTACGTTTAACACTATCGTCCTGGACTTTGTCTTGAGAGTCCCAAAATATCCCTTGTCAAAATCTTTAGAGACCCAGAAACACTTAATCCGATTATCGTTGAATATACACTTTCCAGAGACATCTACGAATCCAGAATCACGTGTCACGGTTTTGCTTGAATGTTTAGCCATATTAATATTTAGCATGTTCCCAGAAATTTCTAAATACTCAAGGTTATGTATTACTCTATAAATACCCTTATTTTTCCTGTACATAAACTTACTTCGAAGTAAAGTGTTTACTCACAATTTTTCGCTCTATTCTTCCAGTTGATATGTCGAAGTAGGTTAGGGTTATAAGAACCGAATAGTAAGAAATAGTTTTGGCTTATCGGTAGCAGGACTTCTCAGGCCCCATATAGAAAATCTTCACGTCTATTAATCATTATATATGTAAAATTGATCATGTCGAGCTAGAAGATCAATTCGGAAAATCATTGTTTGTCGATATGTATTGTATGAGTGAGATTTATACCATTAATGGTCAGCGTATTAGAATGTCAGTCTTAAAAGAGATCATATCCAACAAAAAGGCTAGTATTAATTAGATCGATTCACACAATGGCAAGCGTCGAATAAACCTGAAATTTGAACTAATTATCAGGGTTTTTTTCCGAGATGATTTTGTTGGGTATTGTGTGCATAGATACAATTGATTAGAAAAAAGTAAGCATATAAAATTCAACATAGAATCATTTAATTGTAATGAAATTGTAGGTTTGTATATAGTATATTACTATCTGTTCATTACAAATGAAATTATTGAAATTCATAATGGCACCATATATGCATAAAGGTAAAGAACGACATGACTAGTTATGTTCTATTATGCTATGGCATAATAGAATTAGATGACGTAAAAAGTGATAAAGCCATTGGGTTTTTGATCATGAATAGTTACACCTTTAGAAAAGCGGAAGGGATGAATGACAAAAAAAGATTTGGAGATATTTACGGAACATTGTAAAAATGAAGTGTATATTGATCCTCACTATTATCATACAACCTATGAAGGGATTACAAATCTGTCACAATTCTATATAGAGGAGGAATTGAAGAGTTACAGTGATTGAGCACTAAGAGGTAAAAATGAAATACAAGGAGGTAGCAATAGTATATATTAAACTGATCGTGGAACATCATGAAAAATAGGTCCGATACTAGACTATTTACGAATAACAGCACAACACGTATTAAACTGCGTTATAAAAATTTAAAACTGTAAATAACACTTACATCTGTATTACATCATGATATCTCTTTAATGTTGTCTGTTATGAAGTTCACCTTTATTGTTATGCATTCTAATCTAATGACATATTCTCTTTGTTATCATGTATAGTTAGAATTTCCTTCTAGCCCTTTTTTGTGTTTCATAACAATTCATTTCAGTACTGAATTTTCATTTACTACTATTCAGTAGAGTTTCAAATTGTTTATCTAAACACTTTTCTAATACATTGTTGAACATCATAGAAAAAAAGCATACATATGTATGTATTCTTGTTAGGTGATTGAAGTCAGGCTGTAGGATACTCAGTTAGTCGTGGCACAAATAACATAGTGGTTACGACTGTAAAGCAGAATGATAAGGGCTTGAATCTCAAAGTGTGAATTAGTCGTTTCAAGATTACTAGTAAGCTTTAGTGTCAGTCGGTGTGTCCTGTCTCCAACTTTTTTACATCCGAACAATAATGCATGCAATATCGAGTTACTTAGACTAATGGTCACATTGTGAATTGGTCGGGAGTTTCTAGTCAATTCCTAAGGTCTAGGCAAAAATGACTAATCAGTCAGTTTTATATATCCATACTCCTTTTTTATACTTATAGATAAACTCGAATTAATTACAAATATAATGAAACAATCTTCAGTGGAATCACCTGTTCATCATCAACGTGAATTAACAGACCCTACTCTCCCCACTGCTATTGATAACTCTAGTAATAAGGATCTGTCAAGTTCAATACCTTCTCCTTTTACTTCATCACTTAACATAAATGCTATTGTTCAAGAAAAAGTTGAATCTCATGAAGTAAGTCTGCCTTTTTTTACGTTTTTTTGTTATGAAAAACAATTTTTACTTGCGTTTTACTTCTTTATTTATTCCGTACTTTTGTCTACTTGCTAGAGTTTTTTTTATCAAGTTCCTTTTTTATGGGATGGATTTGGTAGCTGCATGTCAGACAACCCTCTTTTGTCATAGCTTGGGACGGGCGATAACTCTAGAAGGGCTTCAGACAGAGTTGTTTAAATTTACTATAAACTGTTACTTTCTTTTTGAGTTTCATATTGTTAGCTGACAGTTTAAAAGTGGGTAAAATATGTAAGCGAATTTCAACGTTTTGTGTTTCATTAAGAGCTTGGATAACTTTCGATATTTTCTACTTAGTATAAGTTTCCCGTTTGCTTATCAAACAGTCGGATATACAGAATAACCGTTGTAAAACTGTTGTATCTTGAAATTTGTCTGTTTTAGCCTACAGCAGCCACTAATAATGAATAATCGAGGTTATTCTAATACAAATGAAATCTATTGCAAACTCGACGAACTAGCAACCAACACACAGAACTTTTCGCTAATGGTTCCTGGTCATGGAACCAAGAAAGAAGACAGTAGTACAGAAGGAAACTTGCTATTCTACTTAGATAAAATTAGAGCGGAACAACTTTACATATTTAGTAACCAGGCACAGACTTAAGACGGAGAAAAATGCTAAATGGAAGTGGTGATTTATCCACCAATCAAAATACGACTTATACAATCTTAGCACTATGCCAAACCAATGACGTTCGACCGGTCTGAGCAGCCTAGCGTCCTTATCGGTCCTATGTCCGTCCAGCCCGTCCACTTGAGTCCAGAACACCAATACCAGCCCCCACTATGCGAACCGAATCATCATATTCATCGACTGTTGTTTAGTTGGTACATATATTACATATTTTTGCATCAAGTCATTGACTATTGGATCCAGGCTTTTCAATAAATGTAGACATTTTAGTCGCCATCCGTGTATGATAATCATGATCAATATCTTTAGCTATAAATTGATATGCTTCTAACTAAACCGTATTGAAACGAATATTGTTCTTTTAATCTTGAGCCTACTGTAACTTAAAACATCGTTCCTTTGGTGAATATGGAGGATCCACATAGGGAGGTTGGAAAATCCTTATTCCAAACCATTAGTGCACATGGATTCCGGAATCCTGAGGGAACAAATGGCATATGAACCAATTGTTGGCCACTGACCACCACTGGACTGCATCTCCTAACGTTGATTCACTGCCGTGTGGATTAGACCTTCAGGTCAAAGGCTGCGCGTGTGGCCTACTAAGAAAATCACATACTTCGGTCTGGTCACCCGGGCAGTATCATAGCTCTAACGCAAATCAATGATAACTGCTACTGGTCTCATTGTTATTGTGTGACGTATATGTATTTAGTGCCCCCTTGTACCAGTTTTTATATGTTCAAATAAATGAATAAATTTAAACAAATTTCTGATGTATAGTTTTTCATAGGAAATGTATTTGTTGAAAAGGAATGGTTCATGGAATAACGAGTTTTCTGTGCAGCCGTTTGCCCTGTTCTATTCAATGAGTGTGAAATATTGCCACTAAGAGTGTAGGATATTCGTAGGTTACTAGTATTCGATCATAGATGTCTTTAAAGCATTGCTCCTGTATTTTCGGTCCACCGAGTAAGTAATGCCGAGGTTAGTGACAGTGTACCATGTAAGAATGAGAAGTCATTTGATGAGGTAATAAATCAACTAAAATGGTTGGGAAATATTATACGTATGGCCACCCCCTAATTACCTCGATGGGCCATGCTGTCTGGTACGAATAGGTTAAAAGAAAGCTAGATGTGGTCGAGCCCAAGTGCATTAAGTCATTGTAATTTAGACTGAGCCAAATAGGTAGGTGCAGATTACATGGTCAAGTTTCAATGAAATTTTTACAGGTTTTGAATATACTTTATTATGATTCAAAGCTTTCAATCGGTTTTGTTTCACCTTTGATTTATGTTTAAATTCTGTCACCTTACTCAAACATCCCTTATTACGTTTTCAACAATACTATTGAAGTTGTTGGCTAAAAAAATAAATATGCTGAACTTGTTGTTTATTACATCCACAGTCGTGCGTTAGACCTTCTTTACAAATCCATGCAGTTTTAATTTCATCCGACCGGTTACACATATATTTAGTCCAACCAATAAGATGTGATCATTGGCGATATTAAGAATATGGATAAAGGATCTACTTATTCTCTTATTACTAAATTTATTTAAACTGTCTATTAAAATTCATTCAAGTACATTTTTATGTACTTCATTTAGAGGCACAATTTTTGTTTGTCAGGGTTAATTATACCACTACCCCAGGTACCCAAACTGTGAAATACTTGAAGCGTGAATTCTAGCCTTGGACGTATGGATCAAAAGTCAAATGTTTCCAACACTAAGTCACCAATCGACTGTTTAGCTGTAATGAAATAAGTCGTAAATTTTAATTCCATATGAAAGATTCTAATTTTTACATGGCCTCCAGTATCCTGCGGGAACAAATGGTTTATAAAAAAATTGTTGGTCACTGGTTACCATGGGACTGCATCTCCTTACGATCCTCCAATGTCCTGTGGATTAGACCTTCAGGTCGAAGGCTCCAGGTATGGTCCCCCCAAAAACCACCCGCTTCGGTTTGGGCACCCGGGCAGTATCACAGCCCTTACACATGTCGAGTGAGATTTGTGTGGCGCATATGTATTTGGTGCCTTCTTGTACCAATATCTATGTGTTAACATAAATAAATAAATAATAATTTTAATCTTTAAGTTAGTCAAATTTTGTGATGTGTATTGATAAAGATACTAATACTATATATGTATATTCGTTGTTCCCTAATTTGGTTGTCTTCACTAAATATTCTTGATAGCAATATAAATTTGCTGAGATTTCACATTCGAAACTGTCATCCAGTACAATTCATAAAACTTATCAAAAATGTATATTCAAATTACTGTATACATTCATTACAACTAATCATATTTTTAATAATCTTCCATCTTTGGCACTTTCATCTAAATCACGAATTGGTCAACATCCATCATTTTATTGTTTGTCTAATATGCTTGTAATGAAAACGCTTAAACACGTTTATATTTCTTCTGTAAGTTAATGAATTAACTTATTTAATTAATTTAATTGAACACATAAATATTAGTACAAAGAGGTCCTTAAGACAACTGCCTGCTTTCGGTCTGGGAACTCTGACAGTATCACAGTGATTGCTTTCAATTATGTGGAATAAAATATTGTCCAGTCTGTACCTTTTAAGTTCATTATTTTTGGTCGTAAATCGTATATCTGATGTAAAGTGATCATATAGTGTATCTCGTATGAGTATCCAGTTTAATGAGAGTCTATTCTTAGTCACCAGTCTTATCTCAGTATAATAATATACATTGCGAGGTTAGATAGCTTGAATTGTATCTAAAACTATGTACATATACATCAAGAGTGATATTCTTTTAAAAAAAACATCTGGTAAATATCAATTTAAGGTGTAATTATGGATATTATTGGTAAAATAAACGATAGGAATTGCAAAATTAGATGATGGGACGATACATGAACTCATTTACAGATACTTATACCGACTTGGGTTCGAGACATACTATATGCAGGGTCTAAAAAAATACTTCACAGTTTGTTGTCCAAGTTAAAGAATGTATGGGGTTTCAACTCCGTGACTTAGCAGCTGAAAATCAGATTAAGTAACTAACTGAGCCACCGTACACATCGAATACATATGAACTAAGTCCAGTTTTCAGAAGTTAAAATTGATCATTATCCAAAGCAAAAGAATGATGATTTTCCGATACCAATACTTTACTTTAATGCTTAATCAAGATAATTCCGAAGCAACATAGATAAATCTTCTTGGGTGATCCGAAAGGTGCAAGAAACTCTACAAAATGACACAATCCAATGAGGAGAAGGAATTGTATTTAGGGAACACAAGTTTATACAAGTCTTCACTTGTTTGTACTGCATATAATGACAGACCTGTTGCATCATGTAATAACTAAGTACATCATTAAGATTCAATTGGTCACTTCGTACTTATTTATACAACTAGTCCTAAACTCTCGTGTCTATATACACTTTTGTATTTACGTAACTTTTATCTATCGGACTACTTGATAATATTATTTCTGGACATTCCCTACCTCATGCCGTTTTTTTCATGTAATCTCATTCCATTCCATTTATTACCTGTAGGATGTTTGAATTGTTGGTAGTCCGTATAAAACTAAGGTGTTCTATTAATACTTTCGCACTTAGTTTCGTGTTAACAGAGTTTTTTTAAGCAAAGTTGTTTTTCTTACTGGATGAAATCACTAACCCCCAAGTCCAACACTCCTGCGTTACCCCGAGCTTGAGACCTTCAGTAACCCTAGAAGTGTTAGGTCTAGGTGAAGTTGTCGTGTTAATATATCTGCGATTATTGAAGTCCAGTTAGGAATTTTCATTCATTATTACAAAAAATTTGGGACTTAATTTAAGCAAGTTGTAAAATCTTTGAATAAGAAGTTTGAGACAATACATAAACTCAAGAAAGTTAAGAGTTGAATCCATTTGAACTGTTTTATCGAAATTTCCATCATTATCCTAATTAATTTGGTTTAGACATCTGGTTAGTATTATTAGCCTTCAAGTCATGCAATACGTCTAATACACGCTAAAATTTTGTTGTCTATCGAGCTTTGTTAGTCATTCAATCCATCATCTATCAACTCAAAATAGATTTTTTTACTTTGTCGTGGAACTATCTATTCTTATTGTACTTTCGTAATTCTTCCTGATGTTTTTAAATTAGTCAATTCGTCATGATTCATAAGCTTCTACTGACAGTTTGTATTTATTTATGCTACTCGTATTTTGTGTGGAAATGTTTTTGTTTTCTGATTTATAGATGTGTTCATACTGAAGATCTTGAAATCAGAAAGGTAGTATATTTGTCTAAATGTGACAATTTCTACAATAATAAATCGTATAACTGTACGGTCCAATAAATATGTGGAAACAAAATCAAATATGATAAACATATCACTTATTGTAATCACATTACATACACGACATGGATACTATTTTTGGGGTGAATCTATGTATGTCGGTAGTTCACAACGTGAATTGGTCTAATAAAATATAGGATACCAAGAAACACGGGATGATTATTTCGTCCTATGGATATGAATCGCTAACTATGAGTACTAATGATTCAGGCTTGAATGAATTATAGAATTTTCAGGCCTCTAGGCCTTACGTGATCATATTACTTAAATGGAAGATCACAAAACAGTGATTAACATATCTGGGACATTTTCTTCTACGGTGTTTAGTAACATATTCACAGTTAATCGAATTATGATGTATGAACGGCAGTCGATACAGCAATAAATATTGGACTAGTAACACAGAGTTTACAACCATTACTTATATAGATAAACTAACTAGTTCATAAATATAGCTACCCGTTTCATATTTATATTTTACCTCACCGATTTTGTAAGAATATCTACTGACAGTTGGAGGTCGCGTTGAATATTTTCTTTCATTTTATCGCATAGTTTTGAACATTTATTTTTAATCATTAAGAACTCATTTTCTATTTACTGTTTTCAAGTTTCTTGATGAGCGTGATTCCTCTGAAATACTCACTAGCAAACAATTAGGGTAAGTGAAATAATCATTATATATATTTTATATGTGTTTTGCCCTATGCCATTAGTTATTTAGAACTGACTGCATACTTAGTACTATTACTCCGTTATTAGTGTATATTTCAAATGTTGATGTACAGCACCAGCTACTATATTTATCATATCTGCAACCTTGTGGCGATTGTTACTGTATATTCGAACCTCCTCGTCAATGTTCCATCATTTGGAAATGTTGCTACTTAGCTCTCGATTCAATTAATCATTTCGCTATAAGATCTCACTATATGTTTTTCATCTGGCATTTTGGGCTGCACTGCATGCACTAGATATGTTCACTACAAACAGCTGTGGATATTTCCAAATATTGAAAATGAATTGTTTGATGAGCCTTCAGTAACACAGTGTAAAAATGACTGGAAATGTAGTGGCTGATATGATTTAGTCAGTACTGAACCGTATTCATATATGACATTGTTTAGTATTCAGTGACTGGCTGGTTTAACACAGAATAATAAGTTTACGATATTTGTCGGTCAAATGTATTTTTTTTTGCAATTTGACTTAATTCCATAACCTCTAGAGGCGGAACAAGCAAGTAGTTTGCTCCAGGATCCTAAAAGAACAAATGGCGTATGAACCTATTGTTGGTCACTGGCTACCATGGGACTGCCTCTCCTAACGTTTCTCCACTGCCTTGTAGATTAGACATCTAGGTAAAACGCTCGAGGGGTGGGCCCTTAGAAAACCACCTGCTTTGGCTTGGGCGCCAGGGCAGTTGTTAGGAAACGGGTACTAGGTAAGGATGGCAAATCGATTGATGAGGTGGTGAGACTTCATCGGTTGAGATGGCTGGGACACGTGTTGCATATGCCCAACGACCGACTGCCTCGACGTGCGATGTTCAGTGGTATAGGAGTAGGTTGGAAGAAAGCTAGGGGCGGCCAGACCAAAACATGGCACAAGTTCATGAAGTCACTGACAAATAGACTGAGTCATGTTGGTAGGTGTAGACTACCTGGTTGAGGACGGCGAGATGATAGCAACCGATGGTTAGATACCCTGAATGACATGGCTCAAAATCGTTTGCAATGGCGCAGGTGCATCCACTCTTTGTGTTCTCCCAAATTTTGATCTCCTGATTCCTCCTTGTTTCTTTTTTCTCTTTCCAAATTTATTTCACTGGATTATACTCTTTAAATAACATCTCCAAACCCTAATCTTTTCGATTACTGCTTATACTCTTATTACCTCTAACACTACGGGATTTGAATCGAATTCAGTCGTCATTCCGCAGTTTTGTTTGTTTAAAATATGTATGTACAACCTCCAGAAAATACTGAATTCAATCACTACTCATTGAAAACTTATAGGTAAAATCAAGGGAAGGAGTGGTTGTTCTTTCTTTATCCCTGAATAATTCATTATCTGGAATTTTCCACAATTTTGTATCTTTTCTTAAAACTTCTACAATCTTCAATTCATCTATTATCCTATAAAGTGTCTTGATTACTATACATAATCTAACCTTAATAATCAAACTTTTGTGTTTCTTGTACCCTGATTTTCGTTTGATTTCCAAGAATGAAAGATTTTCTGTGAACTGAAAAGTCAATATCTAAATGTTCAACTACAGGACTCATTAGGTACCAGAAATCAGAACTACATTTAAATTAATTTTACTGATTAGTCTTTTACAATTACATCAAGTGTAGTAATATACCTTAGTATTGTTATAACTTGTGACCGCCGATTAGAGAGAGAGCAGTGAATTATCGATCGGACCAAGGACGCGTAAAACACGTGCGACCAGCCTAGAGTCCTGATTGATCCTGCTTTCCGCCTAACCCAGCCAGTTAAGACCAGAACACCAATCTCAGCCTATGCGATATGAATCATTATATTTCAAACATACTGAGTTCATATACCAATCAAACAGACCGCAACGTAGCATTAAATATGGAACAACCTTTGTACAAGAATTAACCAGATGTGGCTGTGGGTGAGGGAGGTAGTAATTGATAGACGGGGTATAACTCAAGAATGGTAAATCGTAGAATAATAGTTCATAGGTCAAAATAAAGCTCATAATAAGAGGGACATGAATATGAATAGTTTAGTTACTTAACAAGTATGCAATAATAATACACGTATAGTATTGGTCCACAAATGGATCCCAAGATTACCATTCATTATTCTTGTCGGGACATAACAAGTATATATATTTATATACAAAGTATATCACTTTCAAATTTACAAATCCTATTTTTTCATTTACCACAATGATCAGTTCATTTATATGTAAACATACTTTTCTAGTCATGATTCTTTGATGCCTAACACTTTGGAAAATCAATTGATGATGGAGAAATTAACAAATCTTAATAATTCTAATTCCCATTTATCTATTAAAACTGAAATTGAAGATAATTCCAGTTTCAATCATAATATGGAAACAATTTCTCCAAGTCAACATGAACCACCGGAAGCGGAAAAACTTCAAAATGTTCTTTCTGTAACATTGTTAAACATGAATAATCAATCGACTGAAGAACTGTAAGTTTTATATTCTACTTTATTTTTTTTTATGAATCTTTTCACCAATCCCTACTTCTATACTTTTCTTAGATTGTCTCGTTGAATTATCCATACACTGTAACAAACTCAGTTGAATCTTGATCATTGGCATCTATTTTGAGCAGAAAACTTTCAATGAAGGGGAGAGGAGCTGACCAACATCTAAAGTGAAGCGATAATACAACTAGAACGATTGTTTTTCACATAAAACACTTAATAGATCAAATAATTAAATACTACTGTTACCTTTTTTCTAAGTCAATTGTAAATAACAAGCAATTATATATAGCTAGCTAGGAGTGTTAAATTTATATATACTATTGCTAGGGCCTAATATAAATAGCATGGCATATGTTTCATAGAATTCAATGTATGAAATGATTCTGAAATGGTAAGTAGATTTTTAATATCGTACCTATAGCAAATGTGAAGTACAATTGTTTGACGGGGAACGTACGTACAACACATTTATAAGTTGATATAATGCAAAATTTGTTGATCATATGAAGACCCCTTTCGACTTTCATTTTAAATGAATTCATGTAAATGGCGACAATTAATATCCACATATACCTTGTCATTCTATTTTCTCAAATCAGATTCTCTATCATCTCGTCTTCTTAAATATCACTGATACCACGTTATTTCGACTCCTTCATAATTCATCTTTTTAATTTTATCTTATCGTACTGATGTGCGTTAAATCAACTTGAGCTAATACACATTTGTCCTAGTCAGTTAGTCATCGTAGTGCGTCGTACAAATATGCTTTAGCCCAAATTGCCATACTGTATTAGCAAAACAAAACGAATAATGGAGTCGAAATAGTGTGGTAGAAATGATAATGAGAAAAACTTAACTTTGGGAATATGACTCGAAAAGTTAGTTCGAAAAGGTATATATATGTAAAGGAATACTAGGACTTAAGATCGAGAGTAAAATAAACTGTGAGTAAATTTGCGTCCTTGTGGACGATTTTGAGTCATGTTACCAGATTTCCTCAACCACTTATTCCGGTTATAACGTGGACATTTTTGTCTGTCTCTATGTTGATTATGACTGACTGACCGAATCATATGATCAACAATATAAATTATTTAGTGTTTCACTGTTTTTCTTACAACAGCGTTTTTGAATCTATTTCGAAAACTGCTGATAAAACTGAGATTTCTGACTTCCCACCTATGAATTGTGTACCGTCTTTATGCAGTACGGGTGATAACTATACGCTTCCGATTGAAAATACCACGACAACTCATCAACAGCATTATAGGAGCGGTGTTGCAGTTGGTGATAACGGTAATGATGATGACGATAATGGGGAGATCGATTTTGAAGACAATGCGCCCGATTCTGTGGACAAATTACTGTCAGGTGAATGGATATTTATTAAATTTTTTCTGTACCTATATATATCGTTTACAGCGCTAAATCTTTCCAAGTTTGGAGTACACTTTATCCACTCCAGGATGTAACTACACTATAGGACTATGCCAGTCAAAATCAGTATGATGTCTTCCAGTTCAAATCACACTACCATTGAAAACGTGAATAGCCATTTCGTCCTAGTTTTCAACTCGTCTGTAGAGCCCACCCACCACCTCGACCGTCCAGTTCTTCCAGATTTTCAATGGTGGTCTGGCTAAGATCAGCTTGTGATTTGAACTGATGAATGATATATCTTCCAGAATTCGTAAGTTTTGTAAATCATCTGTGTTCGTTTATGTTTTCTTGATTCATCTCGAACGCCAAATAAGTTCGTCTCTATAATAAAGTTTCAGCAATATAACTGCATGGACTTTGTTCTTTATGTCAGTGTGTTTTTATTTTTCAATCACATATATCAGAAATACGTTGACTTTGTGATTAAAGTAATATTCATGTTTTTGTGTACAGTAAAGAACATGCTGTAACTGTTCAGTGATTGTCACTGATTAATGACCGATTTCATGCTTATCTTGTCTTTTAGAACTGACCTAATCCTATTCCCAAATTGTCTAAGTGATTTAACACTACGTTGAGATATCATTCGGTTGGTGGGGTATTCACTAGGAAACCTTGCTCGTCATCAATGCATACCTGAAATTTTGAGTGAACTGATAGTTCTTGTAGGATTCGACCCCACATCGCTCAGCTTCACATTCGTTACCAATTAGCAGCTATTCAAGCAGTGACTGGCTTATATGTATTATTAGCTGAGGACATAATTCCACACTTGATTAAGTTAGTTCTTAAATAAAAATCTAACAATGCATCATATGTAAAAACATTTCATTGAATGATTTAAACATTGTTATTAATATTTGTTCATTTATTTATTTATTTAATTTTCGTTCTCACGCAATCAATTATTATTAACTATTCGACCAGATACAACAACGAATAAAATCCCATTAAATTCAAGTAGTCCAACTCGTGATAATAATGGTAATAATGATAATTTAAACAATGAAGCATATACTACAACTAATCACATAGATGAGAATGACTTAATCTTTTTAACAACAACGACAACAACATCGTCAATGTCTCCACCATTGGAACTGTTGCCGCCTCCACTACCATCTCAACTCTCGTTAACAATGTTACCAACTAAAGACACTACATTATGGTCGACCACTGCTACTAATACTACTGCAAAAGAAACCCATTTACAAAATTCATCACCATTGGATATTACCTCGGCATCATTAAGCACTTGTAATTTCGTTGTTTATGATGATGATGATGATGATGGTGGTGGTGGTGGTGGTGGGGAAAGTGAAGGTGTAGGTAGGGCTGTTGACAATGCCGATGAAGAAGGTGATAATGATGATGATGATTGTTGCAACTACCAATCATTTGAAGATTTGAAGTCAATTTCAAAAGAGGAAGATATTTTAAACGCCACAATTAACAGAATAGATACAGTTAATGAAACTACTGAACATGACAGTCATGACAACAACAACAAAGTCAATACCAACGACGACGATAACAGAAGAACTCATAATGAAATGAATAGAATTTTAAATCATTTGGAAATGTTATCAATAAATTCAGAAAAACAAAGTAAACAATTCGAATACATTTTAGGTGAGATTCTTTAAAATGAGAAAAAAAAATTTGTTTTTGTTTATTTGCAAAATACTTAGTATGTTTATTCGAAATGAATTGTTTTTATCACAATTACAATTTGTTGTTTTCTATTGTGCAATGTAGCGAATGATGCAGATGCACACTATTTGGTTGGGGGGTCCGCGCGATTATTACAACCAGTGGTTGGAGACTCTGGGTGACATGGTTTAGAATCGATCACAATGGTGTATATGTACACACTATTTATTCTGCCCTAAGCCGTTGGATTAAAATTGCTTTATACCTTTCTTTCTCGAACTCGAACCAGATAGCTTTAAGGCTGCAAAACCTTGTAAATTACCCTTATCGATATTGTTATCTCTGTTGTTAATATAGTATTCGGGAAGTGAGGATACAAAAGACTGTTATAAATAAAGTTTATTGTCTGTTTAGAATGCATCACCAAAATTAGTTGATGATAATACCATAATATACGGAGAAATATTTAGGGTTACTTCCAAAACACACTAAATTGATACAAGAAATATAAATGTTACACTAAATAGTAGTTCGCACCTATAACTCTGTACGAAATTCATACTGAATTAATACCGAAAAATTGACCTGAAATTATATCACTTTCTTATCTCTTCATTTCAGATATATTATTATTGTCTTTGATAAGCAGTATTATTCAAGAACATCATTACACTAAGAAATTAACATTACTTACAGCTAAAAATAATATATTTGTAATATCCCAATGAGTAGAAAATTGGATTTTCTACTCATTGGGATATTACAAATATATTATTTTTATTTATAACAATCAACCCAATGCTCAATTTATTCGAAATTATCAAATCAAACCTTGGTAATGCCACCTATTACTTACAGCATCAGAATAATCGTTATTCTATAGGATTTAACAGTTGATAATTAATACTTTCTTAGTACGAGCATTGTGACGTTATGTTCCATTTTTGTTACAATGCTGGTTGGCGACCTATGCTTCTCCTCATGGTGTAACAGGCGTAAGTAAGTAAATCTTGAAAAAAAATGAAATAAAAATAGTGAACACAGAACAGTAATAGGCCTGTCTTTATCAGTATGTTTGATGGTTTTATGACTTACTAATTTCGTTAAATTTATTTAATCTAATGGTGGAGAAGATTTGTAGCTCATGTGGATGATTTTGGTGGAGTTTTGTTCTCTAAGCTGGATTGATCAATCCAATTTATCAATCAATCAGGAAAATCATGCATAAATATAGGAACAAAAATCAAACCAATAGGAGACACAACCAAAACAAAAAAGTAAACAATGATAAGTTTAAGGTCAACAAGAACCAATCAACATCGAGGTGCACAGAACAAGCTATGAAACACATATGGAGAAATTCGAACACTTCACTTCTATCTGAAGTTTGTGCTGATGATGTCGTTCAGAAGAACGATGAAAGCTCCACGACCAAACCATCCAGCTCAGAGAACAAAACTCCACCAAAATTTAATCTAATCCATTGTTCTGTATACATTCTTACGATAACGATGTGAATATTACAATAATCATGTGGTTTAAGATCAACGACATAGTTGCGTTAAAGTCAACGGATAAAATATCAACCTGAAGAGAATTTCGATATGTACACTCAACACTAACAGTGATGAAATATTTTAAGTCCCTATAATCTCACTAATATAGTAAGAAACAGTGGTGTCTATGTGTGTATTGATGAAGACCTTCCAATTCGTATGTAGCAACTGTTCATTACTACCTAGTTTTCTCTGATTGATATATATCAGTTCATAAGGAAAATAACCTTATGATTTACTACAATTGTGTTTCATCTGCCTCGAACATATTCACAACCAACGTTTAATCCCTTACATTTAGATTGTATATCTTGTCTCAATATCTGTGTCATAATGATAATGGTAATTAATAATACTTCATGATTATCCATTCTTTATTGATTACGAAACATTTTTGTTTTAGACCAGTTAAATGAAACAAAATTGAAACTTGAACGGCTTGAACAAACACAATTCGATATCATTGAACAAATAAACAATATTAATTACCAAGGATCACTAATGCCACCGACACAACCATCCAACATTGTCACAATGACCGAATCTAATGTGAATTTAGAACATTGGGAAATTAAATCTATTGAATTATCTAATCAGATAATTTCACAATGTAAGTCTTTTTATTTTATTTTGTTATACTGTTGCCTAGAATTCTAATAGTATGAGATTGTATTTGTATAATAATTAGTGTTCGTATGTTTTCATGTTCAGTCTGTTGCACAAACCTAGTAAGGCATCGCATTCCTTTATGGTTACCCAATTTTTAAAGCCTTCAACCTAGCTACAATGGTTCAGAGACAGCTTAGTTATATTGCCAACCTTCAGCGTAAGCGTCTTCACATGTGTTTGAGATACTAGTCGGTGACTGTTAAACCAAATTACAGTGGTGATCTTTTCATGCGGACTTAACCCCATCACTGATCACTTCAATAGGCATTTTCAGGTCGCTCGTTCACGATTGCCGTCGTTCGTCAGTGCGCATGAAGGAAACAACTTAACATCTTGGACGAAAGTGTTTTAGTACTAGAAGCGCAATGTTGGGTAATATAGGAGCAGGTTGACAGAAAGCTAATACTGGAAAACCAACAAATGACATTAGTTTATGAAGTGATTGATAATTTTACTTAACTGCATTCTCCGAAACAACACAGAATGCACCAATCCAATCACTATTGACGGAGAAGATTTGGAAGATGTAAAAACCTTTACATATTTGGGCAGCATCATTGATGAACAGGGTGGATCTGACGCAGATGTGAAGGCGCGGATCGGCAAAGCAAGAGCAGCATATTTACAACTGAGGAACATCTGGAACTCAAAGAACTGTCAACCAACACCAAGGTCAGAATTTCCAATTAGAATGTCAAGACAGTCCTACTGTATGGGGCAGAAACTTCCAGAACTACGAAAACCATCATCCAGAACATACAGGTGTTTATTAACAGTTGTCTACGCAAAATATTTCACATCCGCTGGCCGGACACTATTAGCAACAACCTACTATGGGAGAGAAAAAACCAGATCCCAGCGGAGGAAGAAATCAGGAAGAAGCGCTGGAAGTGGATAGGACACACATTGAGGAAAGCACCCAACTGCGTCACAAGACAAGCCCTCACGTGGAATCCCCAAGACCAAAAGAAAAGAGGAAGACCGAAGAACACATTACGCCGAGAAATGGAAATAGACATGAAAAAAAATAAACAAGAATTGGATGGAACTATAAAAGAAGGCCCAGGATAGGGTGGGTTGGAGAATGCTGGTCAGCGCCTATGCTCCATTGGGAGTAACAGGCGTAAGTAAGTAAGTAAGCATCTTTAACTTCAAACTGTCTGGTATATGTCCACACAATCATCGTAGTCACCTCATGAATTCATATTTTTTTCAACTATATTGCCTATGTCTGGTCGTTTATGCCACCACTAATACTGTTATTACCTTTATTACTCTGGTACTTGCTCTGAAAACTTCAACTCTTTATGTTAATTGAATATGACAAGTTGTACTGGTATACATATGTAACACTTCCTAAATTGTATATGACTGACTGATTTGACATCATTTCTAACTATATTTTATTGGTCACTCGGTTATTCCATAAAACACCAGCATTGTTTTAAAGATATTTATAATTCACTAAATTATTAGAGAACTCGGATACAGCAGAATTATCACAACATTTTTAATTACATCATCAAACATATCGATTATTTGTGTGTGTGTGTGTGTGTGCCAATTTCTCTCACACATAAACATCATGATCCATAAATTATCTAGTAACAATTCTTTTTTTCATCAAATTACTACCCTTGATTACATTAGTTAAGTTGAAAATTTCGCATAGTTTATAAATTCGTTTGTTGTTTGTTTTTTTACCTAAATAGATGAAACAATGTTCTGTTTGAAAAAAAAAGTCATTTGTTTATCGGTTTTTCTAGTGTGTTAATATAACATGCATATTTATATATGGCACATTTTCTCATTATTAGGTATTTTATTTATTAAAAAAAAATAGTAACTGAATGTATTGATAAATATTACAATTGTATTTTGATGGAGTATTGTTCTCTGAACTGGATGATTTGGACGTAGATATTTCATTCTTCTTCTTCTTCTCCTTCTTTTTCTTCTTCTTCTTCTTCTTCCTCTTCTTCTTCTCCTTCTTCCTCTTCTTCTCCTCCTCCTCCTTCTTCTGAACGACATCTACCAGCACAAACCTTAGATAGAGCTATAAATCTTTTCCACCATCTCAATGAAAACTGTACAAATAAACAGATAGATGAATAGTAGAGCTTAGATATTGGAGTACTTGACTTTTAATAGTTATTCACTTACAAATTTTAAAAGAATAATACTGAAATGCTTTATCCCATATATTATTAATGTCTAGTAACTCGTTTAATAGTTAAGATGATGCCTATGGTTGTTTAACTCATAAAATGATAATGGAGTGCGGTTTATTGTAGTAGTAGTAGTAGTAGTAGTAGTAGTAATAGTGCGCTGTGAGCTACTTATATCCATATGAGTAGTATATAACGATGGTCAGACATAGAATGTATTTCAGTTGGAGATCGAGAGGGTAAGAAGGGGGAGGAACGAAGAGCAATTAGTCTGAAAATCCAGGAACAATGAAATCTTAGATGATGAACAGTCAAATTTGAGGCAATGGATTGATATTTTACAAAATAACTATTTACTATATGGTTCTCAGATTTTAGTGAGATGTATTGTAATTTTGTGCTCAAATACATTCGATCGTCTCCACTCGTTTTCTTGTTCACTACAGTAGTAGTCAGATCAAGAAAAAGCATAACTTCGTTTCCTTTTTTTTAATAATAACATATATATATTCT